TCAGGATCGCATGCTGTCTCGAGTAGGATCACGAGTGGTTTGCTTGAAGCATTCATAATTAGTGCCATCAAATACATACATCAATGAAACATAGAGGAGATAGGTTACCTTGCAATGGTAGTATGGAACACTTCTGGAAAACAGACAATCCATGCGGATATTGCCTTTGAAGTGTCTGCAAGGACTTCGTCGCCGTAATTTTATCATGAATCAAAATGGGATCTCGATACCTTGAAAATCTCGATAGTGCTGTATTGATAAGTATTTCGTATGATCTAGAGAGTCTAAAAAACTACCTGCAAACCGGTGGCGGTCCCAATATTTCCGCTGGGGCGAGAAAATTTTTTTTTGCATGGAAGTGCGTGGTGGTAGCTACGCACTCGAAAAATTTTCTGGAATGCTTCTCAAAGTTTCTGCCGGCCCATAGACCCTGAATTTTTGCGAAGAGGTGCGTGGCAGTAGCCTCCAAAAAATTTTTCAGCAAGGCTTTTTTGATTTTTCAAAAATTTTAGAATTCATTTCACTTATTCCAAATCTGAACAATTGACACCCCCACCCCTCTCCCAACCATCGGTCCGCCACTGTTCAACTTTCGACAAGCTCGCCAATGAAGTTACCTGGTTTGTTCTTGTTGTACCTGAAAATTCGCTTACTCCCTATGGATCATAAAATCACGGTAAATAGGTTTTGCACATCAGTTTAACATTTTTCATATTTGCCAAGGACTTGACAAATGTGAATATCGGGGATCATACCAGATACACATCTAATACCTTTGCGATAATGTATGTTTTAAAGCATTGTTGATGAAGAATGGGCCACTCGTTTTACTATTCTTGCATAAGGATGTGGACATAACGAACTTCAAGGTTCTGTAACCGAAAAAATATTACGTACTTGAGATTATCTCATATTTCAGTGATTCCTCTCGTCATTTTAAATAAGTCACTTCCGAAATCGAAACTGATAAGTCTGAAAGTGGTGGCCTTTTTTTTCAGTTTTTGGAGCATATTGGAGTTTCATGCACTATTCTAAAACTCCAAGCAAAAAACTCCATCTTCAGTACGAAATACAGGTTGTCCCAAAAAGATGTGCACACTGTTTGATCGTTAATAACTATCTTGCTTCCATGTCTTTCACCAAGCTTGAGGTACCGTTCTGTAGAGCGAGGTTCAACTTACAAGGGAAGCGTGTTTAGTCGAAGTGGTCTTTTTGAATGAGACCCATACTGCTTTGAAGAGTCCTGCACGGTGATTCCAAATCTGCCTTCCAAATCTGCCCAGCGCCTCTGAACTCCGAGTTGTGACCGTTTCCAAGAATGAAAAATGAATGCAGAATTCAGGTAAAATCAATTGTTACAATTTTTTCAGCGCTCAGATAAAGCAATATTAAGTATTAGCATATTAGACAAAATGTATCCATTGCATAGACGGTTCTGATGCTTGACACTGGACTATTTTTGCAAATGTGAACGATTTTGTTCCAGTTTTGCGTTCAATTTTTTTGAAATGAAAAACGCCCATAACTCAGCGTCCAGAGGCGCTTGGCAGATTTGTAAGGCGGATTTGGAACCACTGCTTAATGCTCTTAAGACCAGCACACGCTTCCCTTGTTAGATGTACAGGGTGTTCCAAAAAAATGTGAACACTGTTCAATTGTAAATAACTCTCTTGTAACAGAGTTTCTCGAGAAGCTTTAGGTACCGTTTTGTAGAGCGAGGTCCAACTTAGATTTATAGTATGGAGCGATTCATCGATCACTCTTCGTTACTGTAGCATTACGGTAGGAACTTCGACAAGGATTTTAGGCCATTGGAGGCCATATTCTCCTCGAAACAAAACCAAACAAGCCAAAAACTCTTATACTACGGTAATGGCAGCCGCTGATTTCGAATATGAAATCTTCACTTTACTGTGATGCTTTTTTCCAAGGTTATCCCTGGTAGACCGTAACAACTGAATTTCCAGCATTTGTCAGAAATGGTATTGCACCGTCAAAAAAGCCAAAAACAATCGTAAAAAGTTGTGTAGTGGAATCAGCGTGCTGGAAAACCCTAGTGCACGATTTTTCAGATTTTTTGAAGAAATTTTTGTCAAAAGGCATATTTCACAATGGATCCACATGCTGAAAGTTCACACCGTAATCCTACAGTAACAAAGAGCGATCGATGATTCGCTCCATACTATAAATCTAAGTTGAAACTCGCCAGAATGGCGCTTCAAGCTCGGTGAAAGACATGAAAGCAAGAGAGTTATTAACGATCAAACAGTGTTCACATTTGGGACACCCTGTATAGTATGGGGCGAATGTTTAATTACTCTTCGTTATTGTTGGATTACGGCAGGAACTTCGAGAAGAATTTTGAGCCGATGAAAGCGATATTTGCCTCAGAAAGAAAAAAAAACAAGCCAAAACTCTAGAACCGGGTCAATTGAAGTCGCTGATTCCAAATATGGAATTTGCACTTCAGTATAGTGCTTCTTTCATAAGTTATTTCAGGTTCAGAGTAACGACTTTTTTCCCAATGTTGGCCAGAAATGTGATCGCATCATTGAGAAAGCTCGAAAAACTGGCAAAAACTTGTGTGGTGAAGTCAGCACGCCTGAAAACCTTGGTACACAAAGCTTCGAATTTTTTTGGAATTATTCCACTAATAGACTACTTTACAGTGGCCCTGTACGCTGGAGGTTCATACCGTTACCCTAATGTGATGAATAATTGATTATGCTCCAAACAGTAAACCTAAGTTGAACCTCGCTCTACAGAATGTTACTCAAGCTCGGCAAAAGACTTGATAGCAAGAGAATTATTAACGATCAAACAGTGTGCACATCTTTCTGGGACACCCTGTATTTGGGGATGCTTGCTAACGAAACAAAATCAAGGCTTTATTAAGACTAAGCATAATTTAGTGACATCCTCAATGGAAATAAGGATTTTGTTGCGACTTGTTGAGACTGTTGCCGAGATACACTTGAAGTGCTTCTAAGCAGCTAGGAATCAGCTCTCTTTTCAGCTTTTTATTACCAGAGCATATGCATAAAATAATTATATTCCAAGAGAATTGTGGCAGTTCAAAAAGCACTTTTGTGGTAGATCGGAATCTGCAAAAAATGGTCATATGCCTAGCAGATCTCTCGCGCAGCAAAAAAGCCAGATTTCTTAACTGGCAGAATTTCTTACGAGGTAAGAAATCTGGCCGATTGTTTCTTGAGCAGTTTTAGATCCTGGCGCCCAGGATTTGAAACTGCTCACTCTTAGGCTAAGGCATACACGCGATATCAGGCTCTGCGCGATTTGGACTTCACCGAGGGAGACGGTCAAGAAGTGCGATTTCTCCAGAGGTCACCAGTTTAATAGCCCAATCTGGAGCTAAGAAGGTCTTTTAATGACTCAGACAAAGTGCTCTAGCTTAGTTAGTATCTGGTGCTAATACATATGAAGTTTGAGGGCGTTTGGTGAAAAATTGATTGAAATATTGCGAAATTGCGTAGCTGCATTTTCGCGTATTATTGACCTCCAACATTCATTGAATCTACCTCAGGTTAATAAGGATCGAGCAACCCACGGGACGATCGTACATATCTTGTTGGAAATTAAATTGCCTCCCGATCTTCATAAAATACCAAAAATGCGCTGATTGGTGTCCGTCTGGAAATAAAAATCGCGCCTCTCCCCCCCCCCCCCCATAACTGGAAGCGCGCTTTGCTTGGGCCAGACTTGATTCTTTTGCGACAACCTACAGCAGCTACGCTCCTATGCATTTGGAATCCATGCACGATTAATCTGTAGAAATCTGGCCCAGGTCGAGCGAATGTAGCGATTTGACGGAATCGCGGGAAGTATGCCTTTGGCCTTATAGTGGTGCCTCGTGTGTTTACGGATATCGCTGGCAGACATAGTCTTGCATTGTTCAAGGTCGCTCGTGTATAAAAGTTGCTGATCTCTCGGAGAACGCTAATGACTTTCCGCGTTGTTGGCTTCTGCTCAATAGCTCAGTAGTGAAGACTACTTCACAAAGAAATTTAGTGCAAGCAATAACATTTTGGAACGTATATCGTTATGTAAGCGAAGAAGTTTCCCGGAGCAATTATGAGCTTCGATAATTATTATTTCTGCTCGCGTGTAAACGTAAATACGAGGTTTCGCTTGAGGGGGAAGAAAAAAGAAATCTCAGTCCTGCCTATGCCTGCTACTCTCCTTACTTGCTCTTCTGCCACCATCAACAGTCATGTCCCTTTTCAGAAGCTCTTCCTCTTCATATCACACTTCGATATGTGGACTATACGTTTGTGATGCAAAACAGAGCTATGACACTTTTGGCTTTTCTTATGCTTACCGAAGTCTTTTGAACTGATCGTCTTAGTAGGGGAACCTTGCGAAATTCCATAAATAAAGGGCTGATCAAGGAATGGTATCGGAATACCACGCTGAGACTTGTGCTGTAGAGACATGAAGCATTTTTATTTCAAACTTTAACGACATGCTCGCAAGCGGCCTCAAAGCTGAGCATCACTACAGCTAGACTCTTCGACAGAGCTATCAAAGACAGCAAATAGAAGAATGTTTTCCGGAGTATCAAACTTTACTGGACTATCGAATATGCTCTGTACATTCCGATCAATTACTACATTGACTAATGCTTGCTTTCGCACCAATTCCTGTTCTCAAAGTATTTGAGCCATTGCTTAGTAAAGATGATCTACCAAAGCTAGGGGTTTTCGACATAGTCGTAGTATCTTACCGGAATGCCTGTCAAAGATGGGCGTGGTTTAGGCAGAGGAGCTCATGTCTATGCATTCTCCATCTCCCTCCAGTAAGATCCGAGAGAGTGTGTGCTGCAGAAAGGCTGCATATGTTTCTTATCCAGCTATTTGAAAGCTATTCTCGACATCCTTTTGAACTTAACTCTGTTTGATTTTCGTTTTCAGGTAATGAATTTTTTAAAAAATCTCTTGCTGCTCCTGTTGAATTCACTTCTCATCATTCAATCCGTAGCCATGCTAGAAGAAACTGAAGAGATTCCGCGGCTCAAGAAAAGGCTCAGTAATGATGCTTTGATACGATTGCTGATGAGGTAAGATGGAACATTAAAACCGAATATGTCATGCGCATCCGTTCTAACAGTATTAACCCTTGCGTCGATATCTGAGAATTTATGATTATTGTAAAAGCAAAACACTTCCAACGTTTACAAATTCAAGTATCAGTGTATAGTGAGAGACCACAGGAGTAAGGTTAGAAGCGTTTAGTCAAGTATGATTGTGAACGAACGTTCAAATTGTGTCTATTCTTTTACTCACTTTTTCAGCTCACAATCAGTTGCACTATTTCGCGCTTTTGGTTTACAAGGAGATGCTTGCTTTTATCTTTGCCACTCTTTCAAACACATTAGAAGTTCCTTTTTGCAAATCACTACATAACCATTCCCTTTCGGAGTTCGCATGCACCAGTCGAGTTGGATTCGGGCAGCACTTTTATATTCTACTGAGCAGACTGATACAGCACATCACGACCTCTTCTTCAGAACTCAACATAATGTGTTCGCCACAAAAAGGGATGAAAAAAGAGCGGATTTCGATCGTCGAAGCCTTGATGACGACATAGCCACGTGTTTTCTGTCGCCGGCGCAGTGTATGCGACCTCGATCAAGGAGGTAAATGTCAACCCTATCGACCACATACATCAAATGGCTAAGTTAGCCCTACGGCACAAATAGAAAGCTCTAATCAGTTGTTGTATTCTCGACCATGGATCAAAAAAAGTTTAGCTGTGACCTTACTGTGGATTTTGACAGAATAATAAGCAGAAACTCATACAGTGACTTCGAGTAATACGCACAATATTCCGGATATATATATGCAGTGAGTTTTGTTTCGATACGGTCGGCACAAGAAGTGTACCTTTCCAACATTCGCACTCATTCTTGTAAGGCTTTCAAGGCAGCAAGCGCTGCTGTTTCTCTGATGATTATTTTGCATTAGCTTAATTGACAACTGTAATGAAGCAAATGTCGGTTCAAATTCATTTTGAAAAACATTCGTATGATATGCTGTAATTATCATACAAAAAAAGGCTGATGCGCCTCATAGCGCCCGGTGTCCAGAATGTGGTGGTTTTTGCTGTTGTGACATCTGTAGTGGAAAAACTGGCTTCCGTCTTCAACTCATTGTCAGGCTAGACTGGCCAACTATTCATAAGCACTATGATGAAGTGCAATTGTGGCAGTCATGTTTACTTGAGCACTGGAGACATATGCTAAATGCTGTGATTTATCTGGGATAGATGTAAGTGGAGCATTCATAAACAACAAACTTGCATAACATATTCTATGAACAGGTAGCTTGCTATTGGCTCAAGCAAGTGGCAGTGAACCTGATTGTTAAATGAGCGGTGAAGCTGGCCAGTGTTACCAAGAAACTTACTAAAAATCGAGATAGTGAAAGCAGATTTATGGAAATTTTCTTCCTTTTATAGAGTGACCGTTGCTACTGCTATTCATTTTGAGCATATCTAGAGCCCATATATTAAAACATGGACGGTCTTCACATCTAACGTTTTTTTGTGTACAGCGATGGTAGTCAGTTATGTTACTATCAGAAATGTGCGCTGTAGTGATGACCAACGACATTCGAGAGGAAATTGAACCACATCATAGGAAACAAAATAGCGGAAGCAGATGTTGTCAGCCGTCGCTGCCACAATCCCAACTAGTGCAAATCAAGAACCACAGGCACCACTAAGAAATTTACGCAAAGATGTCAGTGTCGGAAGCGGGCTCTGACTATAACACACAGGGTGTCGCAGATATCGCAAAAAAGCTCTGAAGTGTATCATCCATTTGGAGAAACTTCTTCAGTCATTTGCCAGTCATCATTAATTTATTCTGTATGCGAGATGGCGTGCTACAACCGCGGCGGTCAAAACAAAATGTCAAAGAAGGAATCTAGATAGAATACTCAAGGAAGAGCAGAGGAGACTAGTTGAAAAAAGGAAGAACTTTTCTACATGAATAGTCTTTCGAACTTATTTATCTGGCTATTCGAAATCGTTAGAGCACGACCATGAAGCAGGATTGCGCGCATTGTACACTCTTTGCTCAGGAGCTGCTGGAGAGAGAAACAACTCGTTGAGTCTTAAAACTTTATCGGGATCAAGGAACACTCTCAAATGCAGCCCACTACTGGATGTAAAATGGTGTCCCGGCCAGTTAACTTACCATTGGTACCTTGGCGGCGCAACCTCACAAAGAGAAGAATCAAAGCTTTCGAGTTGTGTGCAAATTTGAAAAAGCTCAAATTTTTGTCTTTTGAACCTGTACCCTCAGTGTAGTGTTCAAAAAGGGGCACTAGCAAGCGTTGCGGTTTAGAACTATGTATTTAAATCTGTGAAAATCCTGAAAGTGCCACTGTCGAACAACTGGTCCAATTTGATAAGAAGCGCATGCGCTCCACCTTTGGGTCTGGGGCAGACTTACTCAAACACGGTGACGTCACAAGAAGGCGAAATGGGAAAATGGGACCCCTCCCCGGTGCTCGCAAATCTCTGCTCCGGGGGTGCGCCAGATTTGGAAAAGTCCCGGAGCACCAAAACGCGTGAAATGGGAGGGCTCCAGAGAAATGAAGTGGCAGAGCCTCGGCATTTGGAGGTATCCCTTCGACTGTCTGAGTAGCTCCGAGTCGGGGGGTGCAGAAGATCATATATCCATCTAGAAGACTTCATTCAATCAAATTCTTGTTCTATGCTTCTTTTCTTCACTCTATCTTACTAAGTATCAAACTTTGGGAGCTTTTGCTCCATGAGCATGAACAAAAGCCTGAGGTTTATTCTTTTTTCTGTTAATGTGCGATTTCTGCTGAGTTCCATTTTTTTCAGATTAGTGCAAACCCTCCACTCCTCGACTCTCACATCCAGAATTGCTTGAAATGAGAGCGGGTCACAAAAATTCGATGCTGGCATTTACCTAACCAGATTGAAAAATTTCAACAATCTTTATAAATATCGAAAAAGGGAACATTGGATATTCATCAACCATCATTTGAGCTGTTCCAAAATCAAAACTGTTCATAGGGCGAAGCAAAAAACAAAATACAGACCTGGCACTGTGTTTGAGTCAGTGCATTAGTTCACTGTCCCATCATCTTTGCATCATGAGGTATGAGGTTTATCAAACACTCGTATTCCTTCAAGGTGAGTGCCAGTTACAGAGTGCCTTGCATAAAACAAACGTTGAACTGGGGGTGTTACTATACAGAGTGTTCCAAAAAATGTGTCTACTGTTTGATTGTTAATAACGCTTTTGTCATGAAGTCTTTCGAGAAGCTTTACGTACCATTTTGTAGAGCTGGCTTCAACTTACAATTAGATTCACAATATAGAGCAAGTTACCGTTTTATTTTTCATTACTGTAGGTTTACAGTAGAAACCTTGAGCAGGGTTTGGCGCCATTGAGGGACTTAATTTACTCCTAAGAAAGTGAAGAAGCTGAAAACTTGTACACCAGGTCAATCAAGTAGCTGATTGTAAATATAGAGCTCACACTTCACCGTAACGCTCTTCTCATAAATTGCGGCAGATATACCGTAACAACCAATCTCTTATATTCGTCAAAAATTTGATTTCGCCATTTAAAAAGCCCCGCGAATGCGCAAAAGATTATGTAGTGAGATTAGCATGCACGAAAACCTGTTACGCATTTTCCTAGATTTATATATATATATTTTTTCTGAACGGCCTTACTCACAGTGGCGCCATATGCTGCGATTTCCTACCGTAATGCTACGGTAGTGAAGAGAGATCGGTACTTCGCTCCATATCGTAAATCTAAGCTGAAGCCAGCTCTACGAAATGATACCTAAACCTGAAAGATCTCAGAACATGAAAGTTATTAACAATCAAAAAGTAGGCACTTTTTTGGGACACCCTGTAGAGCTGGCACTCACCTGAGTAGAGGAAAAGTCAAGAAACATCATAGATCACAAAACGCAATATTGCGTCGTGATGACAATATTTCTACAGCATGTGTTCCTATGGAACAAAAACTGCTCGGAACAATTACAAGGAACAACTTTGATCGCCGCAGTATCTTCAGCATTGACTTACTGCTTCGCCACGTGCTATTTTTGGGTGCTTGCGATTTTGGTATTTTACTCAGCTCTTACCATGATAGTAAAAATGAGGGCGTAAGCACATTTTCATAAATTTTACGGCCTTGTTGTAAGTTAAGTTGAAATCAAAGCGATACTAAGTATTAAAGTACCAACTTACGAATTTTGGTCACCGTAGTCCCTACGTAAGTGTTATCAAGAATTTGTTCATTTAGCATTATTAGGTTGCTGGCAAGGAGTGATACCACCACCAAGAAAGAAATCCGTAGTGATAAAGGTAGCGCCAAATCTGTCTCATGGGGCTGAACTGATGGGGCTCTGAAGCACTGTGCAAGCCGTAGCGCAAATGGTTCAACGGTCGAGATAATATCTCCAAACTTGTCCCAAGTAGCGTATTTGGACGATCTGCATAGGTGCATGCTTCGCGCGGGGACTCACCCTCGTGATGCGTTCTCACGCACAAATGCTAGCAGATGCGAGCCGTTTGCTAAATACGATATTACGGACAGGTTTGAAGATGATATGTTTGGCCCGAATTGCGCTGCCGCTTGGACAGTTTCGCACCTAAATCCCCTCGAAAAAGCCTCAGGTACAAAGTTTTCCTGGACGCTAGCTTTGAAGACAGCGTCTAAATTCTCTACTTCCGCTTTTTCACTCTAAAATCACGAGTACAGGACGCACCTGTTTTTTTTCTAAATTCGACCAGCTTGAACACGCCAAGAAATATCGCGACCAAAGCACACTCTACTGTGCTGTTCTTCACCTAGAAGCATTGCGTGAGTGAGTGAGCATTTTCGCGAGGCGCTGAAGAAAGTGCTTTTTGTACTCGAGAAACCGGGGTATTATCCAGACCTTATATGGCATTGATACAAATTTAGCATTCAAAAAGCGTGATCCGCGAAACTCCCTCCGCTATTTTTGTGAACTATGGGCGAGTGCCCTGGCGCTAGCCTTGTCGAGAGTATTCATGAATACGATAAGCAGTACGCATTCGACTTGCTTGCCATCGAGAGCGCGTCAAGGGCCGAGGAGATTTCGTTGGACAAGGAGGACCGCACACCAGCTCCAGATCTGCTCAGTGCTGCTTTTTGTAATCCTCGTTGTCGAAGAGCATCATTCGAAATGATAACGCGAATGAGTTGTTTACTTTACTACTTTGATCTATGTAGTAGCAGACGAACGGTTAAAATGCTACTTTCACTTGCAAAATTATCGTGGTTAATCCCAGCAAATTCGTGAAAGAGTCTTGTAAACAACTTTAGAACATCCACGGTCTCACCTCTACACTACCGATGAGTAAAATATTGCGAATGTCCCCCCCCCTGGCAGCAAAATTTACAGACCAGCGTTCAAGCAAGAGCGGCACACCCTGTTGTTACCGTACCCTGATCGCAACAAAACACGTTGTCTCGCGGAGAGCTCGCTCCACAAAAAATAGTCTTAAAAAATCAGAAAGAAGTCCTGTTAGAACTTTCCTCTAGACAGGGACAATACCAAATACATGGGCTCGGTGTATTAAGGGAGTACTCTGCAGAAAACAAACGCTTCCATAT